CCTTAATCGAAAGTTCTCGCTTGTGATCGGGAGGGTAATTAACTATAGGGGCTTGCGCCTATAGGAAACCAGAACTCAGATCATAAAGTCCTCACAAAATGAGGGCGAAATCTCTGGGTAGTGTCTTATCTACAAACCCATATGCCTTCCAAAATTTACCCTGGAACTATATTCAGTTAAAACTCCCTCGCTGAATAAAAAGAAACACGCGGCGAGGAGGCCGGGGTCGAATTTTCGGAGCCCACAACGGGCATATCATTTAACCTTTATTTCTTATTGGCAGAATCATCATCAGGTTAGCAGTTAATGCTTGTATTCTTGGAGGCAGGCTTATTATCAAGCTCTTCATTTCTTCTGTGGTATAATGTTTTTTCCTTCTTAACTAGTATACTTTGTAAACATCACATGTTTTTTTACTATCTAGGTTGCTGGCGGCGATGGTACAGTAGGATGGGTACTGGGAAGTCTTGGTGAGTTGCATGCGCAGTGTAGAGAGCCAATTCCCCCTATTGGAATCATTCCACTTGGTACCGGAAATGATCTTTCCAGATGCTTTGGTTGGGTATGGACCTGTCTATATTCTTATTTATGCCCTGTTAAATCACCAATATAAATTGTTGATTCTAATATTTAGCAATTTTTATAGGGTGGATCATTTCCCTTTGCATGGAAGTCTACGGTGAAACGCTGCCTATTTAGGGCTGCCACCGGTTCAACATCACATCTTGATAGGTAATTTTTTTTTAGTAATATCTGCATCTTTTCCATTTAGATGATGGAATGAAAAATAAAAATTTTACTTAAAGCATCACTCGTTAGCTGATCCTATCTTCTGCCATTTTCACTCAACAATTGAGTATGTTTATTTAGCCATGTTGGTCTATTTTCTTGAGGGGATTGGAGGGCCAGAGCATGCTAGTGGAGCAAGTATGCATCAACTCGGCCATCTAAAAACTTACTAATGTGAGGATGATGCTAGTTAAAGGCTCTTTGCATAGAATCTGGGAATTGTTTAATTTTGTCTGGTTAACGTTTGATGTTAGCCATGCATTGAAATTAGAACTCTTGATTTTTTTTTTAAATAAAAGATCTGCTTTTTCAATGAACAAATCTACGCTCGGCATTATCAATGGCTAGATCTTGGTCTCATTTTGAGAATATTCAATCCAAACAGATTATGGTACATTTGACTTTCTAATCTTGATTAATTGTCTCCAAAGATTCAATATCAATGGCTTTAGATTTTTTTTTTTTTGGAATATTTAGATCAATTAAGGTAAACTCACACACGCATCACATACACAATCTTCGAACCCAAGACCTCTTGGCTAGTAGCTAAAGCTCCGAACCAACAGATTATGGTAAACCTTAGATTTAATTATTTTATTTTTTTATTTCCATTTTTGCCTACTTCCATTGAAGTGCATGCTGAAATAAACTCTTTGTTGTACGAAACTTCCAAACATTTTGAAAGTCTTAGCATGAAACAAAACCTATTGATGCTCCGGAATTTACAAGTTCTTATTGCAGTTGGCATATTGTTGTCTCTTTGATGGATGGTGAAGCAATAGATATTCCACATTCTCTAAGGCAAACGAGAGAGTACACTTTTCCTCAGGTTTTCTGTTCACCTGCTTCTTGTTTAATTAGCATTTCTAATTAGTTTCCACATTTATTTATAGGATACTGTATTTACTGTACACACACAATCTCTCTCTATAGAGAGAGAAAGAGAGAGTTATGACTGAAAAGTTGGTTACTGCCTTTCGTAAATCTTATCACATTACCTTTTTCTGTACTCTTTATATTTTCCAGTTTTTGAAGGCTACTCTTCTGTTGTACTGAGCTTCGGCAGCATGAATAATAAAGTTTCTTCTACATCCAGGTGGCTCTGTTCCCATGGATAGCATCTTTTACTTATATTGTACAAGTGAAGAACTTTCTAGGGATCATTTTTAGAAATATGACTAGTGTGGGCTCTAAAAATTTGGCTTTTGGGGCCCCGACCTCTTTGCTTACATTTGGGGAGAGTTTTAATGAATTAAGTTTCAAGTGAAAGTTTTTGAAAGCACATTTGATAGAGATGAGATACTATCCAGAGATTTCACTCTCATATGTGAGGTTTTTAGGATGAGTTTTGATTTCCTACGTCTCAAGCCCCTATAGTTAATTATCTTTCATGATAATGAGAGATCACTTTCAATTAATATTACTCATTAGGCATGTATTAAATACCCAATGGATATAGAAGCAAATTTAGATATTTAAAATTAGAAAAATTTCACCGTGCACTTAAAGTGGATTGGAATGATGAACCCGATCGAAATCTCATAATTTTGTTGTCTAGAGTTTTTATGTTCCCTAATCTACTTAATTAGAGGAGGTATTCGACCCTACTTAACTGAAGGGTCCTTGCTATAATCATGACTTGTTTCATACAAGGGTATTTTGTAGACTTCAAGTGAATATTTACCTAAGGGATGAATTCCAATCAATCTTAAGTAATAGAGGGCTTTATGATCTATCAATTATACCCTACGATTCATTACTCAAAATTATCCATCGGGAAACATAAGGGCTTTAGACGTGACCGTAATATAGTGGATCTATTGGGCCAAATCACCAAGTCAAAGGGCCTCAATCATAATCATTTGCCACGTGGAGCCATTGGGCCAAGTCATGATTCTTTGTAGAGCTATCGGGTAAGCCATCGATTAGAGGACCAGCCATAACCATTTATCACTTAGAATCATTGGGCCAAGCTATGGGTTTTGTGGGGCCATTAGGCTAAGCCACCGGTTAGAGGACAAATGTCACATCCAGTATGAATCTTAGTGATATTCTGAATTGAACATTCATTCATTATGAGTTGAAACACTGATAGGAAACACTTGTAGATCTTAAGTATTTCCTATCAATCTTCGGAGAACAACGAGCTTTCTCTACCAAAATCCACACAAAACCACAAAAACAATAAATAATTTGTATTATTTAATAAAAGGGAAACTGAAAATAACAAGATACAATTCGAGAGGAGGATCGATCTCTCCCAAATCTCTAGACATCGCTAGAGCCCAAAGGAAAACTTAAATCTAAGAGATATCAAATTTTAGCCAAATTCAAGATGCCCTAATCCTAAGAAAACAAAGTATTTAATTCATACAAATCAAAAGGAAATCCCTAAACAGTCTAGCTATACATTCAAATTTACCTCTCAAATCCCTCAAAAATCCTTCCTAAAATGCTTCGTTAGCCCCTGCGATGTGTGCGGCTAGAGCAGGAGGCGGAGACGTCCGCCTCGTTCGCGCTTGGGCCGGTCCCGCTTGGACCGGCTGGACCGGTCCAATGAACCGGTCTAACAATACTCCCCTCCCAAAGATCCACCTTGTCCTCAAGGTGGAGATATACTCGTGTTCCAGTGGAGGTGGCCATCCTTGAGGTGGATGAAAATCCTTTCCAAATTGTTGAATCAAGGGTTGCACTGAAAGAAAAACATCCCCTCTCTCCATCCTAATCACATCCAGCTTGTGTAATCCCACCAGATAATCTTCCCCCACCTCTTGTAGGCTCATAACCATGGTCTTAAGTGATACAATGACTTTGTATATCCTTACATCTCCCCTTATAACCATCTTTCTCTCATCAACCATTGATTCCATCATTAGCGCTCCCTAATTGTCCTTGGTTTCCACCAAGGTTTGCAACCACTTCATTCCCAGGATGACATCAATACTTCCTAACTCTAGTGGGAGAAAATTCTCCCTTACCTAAATCCCCTGGATGGTCAACACCACTCCTCTACCGATCCCTTGGCCTTTCTCCACCTTCCCTGTACCCATCATCACCCCATAATAACTGATGTCCATCAATTTCGCTCCCAGTTGGTTGATGACTTGAGCGAAAATAAAATTATGGGTAGCCCAACTGCCAATCAATACTACCACTTCCATGCATGTTATTTCCCCCTTCACCTTCATCGTATGATTCGAAGTGATTCCTACTACCGAATTCAAGGAGACCTCCGCACATCCAGATGCAACTTGTCATCCATCTCTCGCTCACCCCCTCCTCAATTTCCTCGTCATCACAGATGGTGAGAACCTGAAGAGTTCGATACTTACACCTGTGCCCTGGAGTATACTTCTCGCCACACCTTAAACATAACTCCTTTGCCCTTTTCTCTTGTATTTGCTTCTCTATCAGCTTCTTGGAATTTCCCCCACTCCCTCCTACTAGCTTCTCCCTGGTGGTCTTATTAATGTTGCTTGATGCAGGCCCCTTGGGTGTTAAAAGAGTGGGCGTCGTCCTATAAGAGCCTCCTGAGCTGTTGCTCCTGGCTTCCTTCTTTAGTTTTTTCTGATTTTCAACCAGCTGTGCTAACTTTATGGCCTCCCCCAATCTCGCGGCATCAAGACTTTCACTGCCACTTTGATTTCTGCCTTTAGCCCCTTCATGAAGTTCCCCTAAAGTACATTATCTGATAATCGCTCCACCATACTGGCCAGGTGCTCAAACCGCTCCCAGTAGTATGCTACTGATCCCTCCTGCGTCAGAGCAAAGAACTGCTCATAGAAATATTCTCTCCGGTCAGTTTGGTAGCATTCTTTTATGCTGTCCTTGAATTCCCTCCAATTCCTGATAGGTCTCCTGTGGTCTCTCCACTGGTACCATGACAGAGTTTTCCCTTCCAAGCACAAGCCTGGTGCTGTCAGCTTCTCCTCCTCTGTCAACCCATTGACGGAGAAATATCTCTCCACCTTATAAATCCACCCATACGCATCTTCCCCTTCAAATATGGGCATCTTCAGCTTCCTCACCTTCTGATCGCCACCATTCCCCCTTATTCTTCCATAGATTCCCCTCTCCCAAGTGCTCGCCCCTCCCCACGTCTCCCGATCTTCCCTTGCCCTACCATAGCCAAAACCCCATTCGAATTCCCCCATTCTTTCTTCAAAATCAGCACCTCAGCGGCCATAGTGTCCCTCATGGCGTTCCCCATATCCACCTCTTTCTTCTTTTTGGACAGGCTCCAGATGGCGTCTTCTTCTTTCTCCTTCCATGATTTCCACCTCATCTTCCTCCCTACTGATTTCTGAATTCGTGCTTTTCCCTTCCACCTCTTTTGCCACGGAAGCCGCCGTTTGGTTATGGATTTCCAACATTTTCTTCATCATGTTCCAGAGATCGGTTACTTGTCATTCCATAGAGGAAATCCTTTCCTCAACCGTCGTCTTGATTTGATTCATCTCCCCTTCAAGCCTTTCTTCAAGCGCATCTACTTTGTTGGCCTCAATCTCGATCTGGATTTTTGTAAATAAAAAAATTTTTTGGATTTGGATTACAAAAACAACAACTTTTTCCTTTCCCGGCCAAAAATCAGCCGCCGGAATTCGTCAAATCAGCCCACGAACTGTCCCAAGACTTGCTCTGATACCAATTTGATAGGAAACACTTGTAGATCTCAAGTATTTCTTATCAATCTTCGGAAAACAGCGAGCTGTCTACCAAAATCCACACAAAACCACAAAAACAATAGATAATTTGTATTATTTGATAAAAGGGAAATGGAAAATAACAAGATACAATTGATCCTCTATTTGAGAGGAGGATCGATCTCTCCCAAATCTCTAGACGCCACTAGAGCCCAAAGGAAAATCTAAATCTAAGAGATCTCAAATTTCAGCCAAATTCAAGATGCCCTAACCCTAGGAAAACAAAGTATTTAATGCATACAAATCTAAAGGAAATCCTTAAACAATTCCTACATTCAAATTTCCCTCCCAAATCCCTAAAAAATCCTTCCTAAAAATGCTCTGTTAGCCCTTGCGGTGCGTGCGGCTAGAGCAGGAGGCGGAGATATCCGTCTCGTTAGCTCCTGTGGCGGTCCCGCGTGACCGTTCTAACAAATATGTGCAATAATTTATTTTTTTTTAAACGAAGACGATATTTTTTATGACTTTAAAGCAAAAAACGAAGTGCATATTTTTTTTAAATGAAGTGCATTTTTTTAAAAAGGAAATCCCTAAACAGTTCCTACATTAAAATTTCAGCCAAATTTTTTTTTCAAGCATTTGCATACTTTTCAGTGCACTTGCATACGTATGCTTCTAACACATTGGCACACTTTTTGCGTGGTCATGCTGTTCAACTGCAAGTGTTTCGATGCATTTGCATATTGTGTTCTCACACTTTGAGTTTGCTTATGCACTTCTTAGTGCCATTGCACACTTTTTGAGGCATTCATGTGCTTCTTGAAGCAACATGTTTGAGTTTGAAAATTTGCATTTTAATGCGTGAAGGGATTTTTAAAATATTCAAAGTTAATTATTTTGTATGGATATTTGTCATTGGAAGGTGCACAAAATTTCATTTTAAGACATTGGGTATGACTTCTATCCACTTGTATGTGTGTTGCGGATTTGGCGGCATTAGTAGAATATAATCTCTTTTGTTGTGGTTTGGAGAGTTGCTTGATTTAATTAGCCCATTCAAATTTTCATTGAACATGGTTAATGGAGTATGTACGTTCATTTTAAGTTAGGAGGTTTTGTTGTTGTTCGTAGGCGATTTGTCACATTCATTGCAACTTCTTTGTTTTCTCTTAGACGAGTTGATGTG